CAGGGGTTAAAAAAAATGTAATCCCTGCCAATTGATCACTGTAATGAGTGATCAATTGGCAGGGAAGGGGTTAATTTTTTATTAAAATGGGTAAAGGGGGGTGGGATTTAAAATTAACTTTAATTTCTTTTTTTACACAGGGGGCAGGATCATCACTGTTCCGGCTCCCTGCACTTCACACAGAACCAGCAAGTGCAGAGAGGCGGAAGGTGAGTATATGGAGCACATGTGCTTGCTCTGATAGCCTGTCAGAGCGAGGACCGGTGCTGGGGCAGCCAGATCGGGTGCTCCCGGTTTGCCTCTAATACAGAGGCAGACCGGAGCACCATTAACCCCGCAATCCGGGGTTAATTTTAACGGGTGACGGACAAGGTCCGTCACTCGTCGTTATGGCAATCCCCTGAGTGACGGACCTTGTCCGTCACTCGTCGTTAAGGGGTTAAATATATAGGAATCGTAACAGAGTAGCAAATTGGAGAACCAACAGAGTAAAGGTCAGTATCATGCATTTGCACCTATTGCAAAGCGTCATACACTGTCTTAAAGGGGAACTGACACTACTCTGGAAATTATACACTAAATAAAACATTGAAAATGTTTCTTTCTTTTTTTTCTACATGTATCATAAAGATTAAGCAAATGACATCACAATCCAGTTTAGTCAAGGAATGGTCAGAGCACACATTGCAAATGAAAATGAGAAATAGAAACATTATTTTGTTTCTCCACTTCTGTATGTACTTTCTCCATGTCGACTGCTAGGTGAAAACAGCAGAGCTTATAACAATGACTGATGGTGCCCAGCTGTATGATAAAGAGGCATGGATTTTTAAGTTACATATTCATTTTAACACCTCACAATTCACATTTATTTAATATATGGATAATTAAACATAATATTAAAAATCCTGTGAAGTTTTACTTGACATTCAAAAATGGCAGGAGTATGGTTTAAAATGACTTTGCCATCCCTTATTCAATGGAGAAAGTTGTGAGCATAACTTTTTAATATAAATTGTAAATATTTCAAATAAAATTGGCAGAAAATATAAGCATTAAAAGGATATTCTGAGCACCAAAAATCCTGCATGGTGCTGCAGTGGTTATGGTGCCAGAAAGCCCCAGGCAAAGTCTAGTGTTAATCCGTCAAACAATTTACAAAATGGTTTGAAACTTGTGTCAGGCTCCCGTGGTCCTTCCACTGTGAGTTGCTCACACTTTATTAGCATACCAACGTATACCAGGCTTAAAGCGCATGCATTGGCTTAAAGCCCTTAGCTGATGCTGTGAGCCAATGAAAAATGTGTAAACCTGACATAAGTTTAAAGATAGGTGTTCTATTTGTGTTTAATATCTAATTTCCATCTTCATACATGTAGTTGTATTTATTATATCACAGTAAAAGTAAAACTGTATCTATGACTGCATATTTAATTCACAAAGATCCCTGACAGTGACACCAGTGGCTGGGGCAGCAGATAAAGGTGAGTTTTACCTATCTGAATCTGTCACTCCTGGGTGTCTCCATTTTCCTCCAGCGCTTCCTTGTCAGCAGCTGACGTCACTGCCGTACTGTTGCGGGATCTTGGGGAGATTCTTGGGGGAGATTGACACTTCAAAATGGCGATAGCTCTGTCCAGTGTCTAGAACTGTGAGGTGAAGGAGATATACAGAAACAAAGTCGTCCCTACTTTGTCTCAGTATGTTTCTTGACTGAGTTGGAATTTTAGTGAAATTTCAACACAGTCAAAATTTGTATTTCATGAAGATTCCATCTTTATTAAATCCTCATTTTTCAGGTGGATGACAGTGCCGCTTTAAGCAACTTATCTTGCATGATTTATAGATGAAACTTTTTGTTTAGATCTGCATGGCTGTGCACACAAACACTTAGAGTATGATTAATTGTGATACCCTATTTGATAACCATCACATATACACTAGATCTTTTAAAATCTGTGTTTATGTGTCTAGTGAGTCAAGATTACATCACAAAAGCGTAAAACAGCTACTGCTCATGGAAGTAAGTTAGTCTCTTAAATTTCATGCTTTGGTAATTCTGTGTGGTATCACCGGCATCTATTCAGTATGCTTTTTAAAAGTAGATACATTCATTCAGTGATCATACATTTGTCGAGCTAATTGGATGAATAAATATTGTGTTCTATTTAAAGCCTTCATAACAGATAGCCTGTCCGGTTGGTTATAAAGGTACTTTTCTAATCCGCTGGAATAAAGGGGTTATAAAAACCTTGCTTTTTTTCCTGCATTCAGGTAACAGTTTCACCACTAACTTTCCAATGTTGCTTTGCAAATGAAAATAACACTAATTGTCAAAACAATGTATTCTAGTGACAAACCTTGACATAAAGGCAAAAGAGTAGCTCTTTGTGTGCTAAAATAAGCATTAAGCATTGAAAAGAATACATGAATTAACCCTCAGTTATTCCAATGATTAAACCGTTGATGTTTTCTAATTCTGAATACTAAAGCAGTCCTGGCAGCCATAATGCCACATGTTGAGACGGGATGTATTAAATTTATTAAAGTCCTTCACTCATGTCTGCTTGACTGTTGTTGACCATAGCTGCCAGTATTTAACCCAATGAATGCCAAAGGTGGAATCAGCACACGGAGAATGCATTAGGTAAACCTCAAGTTATCAAAGAACAAAAAGTAAATATTAAAGAGAACATAGCATGAACTAGCACAAGAGTGTCACATCATGGTATAATTCATGTCACCGAATCAATAAAATATGTTGCCGATGTTTTATTTTTTTTTAAACAGACATTACCATATCGAGCGCAGTATATTACACAGTAGCAGATACAGATGTTATATGATGGACTTACTATTATTACCTGTCAAGTGTGAGAGGTGAGAGGTTTATTAAAGAAGAATAGTTTGGGTAAACATAACTTCGTTAAGAGACATCCCAGCTTTCCAATAATACGGTTACACTTCTGTAATAAAAATATAACCTATAACTAAATTAGTACACTGCTCAGGACATTTTGTTGCACATGTATAGGGAAAGCGTAAAAGTCAGCAAACGTATTGAACCTTAGTGCAACTCTCCTGGAGAGAATGGCTCTGTGAACAGCTTTCTATGTAGCGTTATTATTAACCATTATACCAGTGTCTGTATAATTCAAGCATAACAATCTAGACTTCAATAACCCTGCTTAACAATGGATTGTTCCATCATTTTCGAGACAGCAGGGTAGTAGAGAGCTCCTGATGCTAAATAAGCAGGGCATTTTGTTCTGGCAAAGGGTCTTTAGCAAACAGAATGCAATAACGACATGAAATATCATTGGTCCTTGCGGAGTCAAACCCCTAAAAGAAATTTAACCCAGTGCCATTTCATTTTGCGGAATATTAATTTTGTATTCAGAACCACAGAAAGGTAATGATTAGAGCTCTGCATAGAAAATTAAAATCCAGCCAATAAGGTGGGAGTAAAAAGACGGTTGTATGGCATTTAACTACTGAGAGCTTACAGATCCAGAGATGAGCAACACGCTGGAGGGCACTTCAAGAACGGTGGCATCTTGACATGTAAAATGAAAAGTTACAAATAACAATAGTACTTAAAGTACTTAAAATAAATGAAGCAGCTTAACCCATCAAGAAAATCCTGGCAAATTCATTATACTGTTCTTGAAATGTTGCTAGGTGTCTGTAAAGGTGTTTTACGCAAAAAAAAAAGAAGAATGTATAAATAAATAAATAAATAAAATATAAGTTGTAAAATCACTTTTACCTTTTTACATTTTGTCCAACACAGAACCATTCTAATAAACCACTATATTTGCAGTTTTGTTCCATATAATATAAAAAATAATTTATGTTGAAAAGTAGTTTGGTTGTCTGTCATATCAGCCATCATACATTACCAATATAAACTAACAGATTTTATTCAGAGAAGTGATGATTAATGCCTATAGACATAAATAATGCAAATTTTCCTGTCTGCGAGAAGTACAGAACAAAAAGATGTATACAGTACATTGAATATTCGGAGATATACACTCCTGACCCTGCAGACACACAAAATCCATTCACAACTGCTACAAAACAGAGTCATTGAAAGCCAGTTAGAGACTCTGAATTCCCTGTTTAATGCTAAAGAAACCAGGCAGCTGCAACGGGCTACTAATCAAATCAACATAAAACAACAATCCAGAATCACTCAACTCAAGATGCAATGGGGTGAAAACAGCAATTATTGTTTAGTGGGAACATTGGACCCTTAAAACAGAACGTTACCCTACTTAGTAACTGATGGATAGGAGATTGAGCTGAAATCATGATGTTTAACAAGCATGAATGTCAATTGCACTATGCCAGAATAGTCTTATTATGTAACAGTAATTGCAAGGCACTAACATATAACTAAGCGTTGTACACTTTTTCAGCCATGGTTTGCAAATCTGCCTGGTCAGCAAAGGGAGGCACATGGATATAATGAAATAGAGTAAAAATATCACCAAAATACACCATACATAAATATGTGCAGATCTGAAAATAATAATAATAATAATGCTTTGCAAAAGTCTGACCAATAACTATATTTAATGTGTATTTTAATTTTTTTTTTTAATATATCATAGTAGAGCAAAGTCTATTAAACAGCAGGACAAACTGAGAGGTGTTTATTTTTTATATTATGTTAAAAAAACACAACATTTTTCGGGGGGATGGTGGAAGAAGAAATGACTCCAAATGCCTCTACCTTACAGACCGGGGAGGCAAGGGGGGGGGGTCGAGTATCAGGTTTACCTGATCTGTGTTAAAGTGAAAATTCCAAACAGTAATCCATGCTATTGTCAGACTAAATGCTTAGCTGTTATTTTATAGTTCTGCACATCCTGTCAGTAAAAAGAGGAGCTAGCAATCTGGCACAGTGTGGCATGCACCTGGTATTAGTTGCAGAACAAGAATCTAAAGAAGCTTTAGGGATAAGGAAGGACGATCCATCACAAAAGTGCTTTGGAGATTGGAGTGTGTCAGGGATCTGTAGACAAGGCAGGTTTTACATTGCATGCAATATGTAACAAACTCTCCCAGCTCCTGCTCAGTTTGCCAGATGCTCTCTTACCTTTAGTAGCGAGGACATTGCAGCCAACACCCAGGAAGAAAGCAGCTGTCACCCAGTGAATTGTCATCCTTGTCATTGTTAGGGGAGCAGCAAGGAACCCAATGTATCAGCTCCTGGAGATGCTAGCATGCAGAGCTAGGCTGAGTGTAGACCTTGTATTCAGGTCCTTAAAATGAGAAGGTCGCTTTGAAGCTAGTGGAGTATAATTCCTGTGTAGGGAGTGACAGAGGATCAGTGTCTCCAGCGCTATCCTTGTCCCCTCACTCTGCTTTGCTGGTGATGCCCTGTAATGCTCAGCTCTGCTGCTATTTCTTGTTCATCTTTTGTCTGCTGGCAATTTAAATCCCATGGAAAGGCTCTCTACTGCCATCTACTGTGCAAGCCAAGCAGCTATCTTTTTTTTCTTCTTTTCTATATGACAGTTTTAAAATACATATCTTTAGGGCTGAGATTAACCATTTTATTGCCACATAGGCTTTTTTCCCTCCTCATTAAATAAGAAAAAAAAATGTGTTTTATATATATATATATATATATATATATATATTCTCAGAGAATGTAATTAGGATAGACCTATGAAACCCTTTGTTTACAACTCCCATTACATCAAGGCAAATGTAGCCCAATATTAATCTTGTCTGTTTTTCACTGCACCATCTCTTCTATATATACCGGTTTCCAGGGAATAGCTCACCACTCCACACTTTGTTTAAATGAATGTCAAAGAGATGATCACTAACCAGTGAATTGAAAAGAATTTTCAATATTCCTCATTTTGTTCATTCATACTTAAATATGCACATCTGTGAATCAAGTAAACAGACACCTCCATGTGTTATATTACCAATTATATGCACATGTTATGTAGGGGTGTTTAACAGCACTGCTTAATAAGTGATGAATAACATGACTTATGAATGAATTAATGTTCAGTGATTTCACTCCAAGATAATATTTTTTGAGGTGTTAGACTTTAATGGGTGTTATATACTATACATGTATAATTTACTTTTTTTTTTATATTCTAAACAAATAATGATAGGCTTCTGCAGCATTGCAAGAGGCAAAGATTAATTAACCCTCATTATAAAATCAATTGACCTCATTGGGGTCTCCGCACTAAAAGTCCTGATGCACTGACTTTGCAACCAACTTACACAATGTCAGGTGAAATCGCTGACTTGGATAAAAATCTCAATGTCAGCTATACATTAAAGATAAGTCACCTAATGCTACCATTTCACCCGAGTTGATTTATTTATTTTATTTATTTATAAAATATTTTACCAGGAAAGATACACTGAGATTTCTCTCGTTTTCAAGTATGTCCTGGGTCCACAAAACATTGCATTGTTACATTATGGTACAGTAAAATACAAAAATATGAATACACAAGATACACAAAATTTAACATAGAACAGGTAGGAAATATATAATCAACCATGACACGTGCATTCTGTTTTGAGGTATGTAGAGGGGGATCTCTTAAAGGACTTTAGGTTTGGGGAAGATTTTAAAGTGTGCAGGAGGGTGTTCCACAATTGTGGCGCTTTGTAGGAGAAGGCAGAATAAGATGGTTACAACTTGAAAAAAACTACCTTTACATATTTGCCTTAATAATATAAGTATGCTTTATTTGCAGCTGTGTCTGCTGATTAAAACATTGCACGCTCAGGGTGCCCCAGCAGTAAAAAATACAACAAACGTAAAACTAAATATCTAAAATAAATACATAACTAACTCCCTTGTATTGTCTCTGTCAAGTGAATGGACACTGTCAGTTTCAAGGGGACTGAGAACTAGCACATTCTTTAACTAATTTCATCATGCTGCTCAGGAGAAGGAAGTTCTATATAAATAAAAAAACTAACTCCCGTCCACTTAGAAAGGGGAATAGACCACATCTTCTGTGGCTAGTAGGAAGCCCCAGATGTTACCCAACTGATGTTACATGGCCTTAGTTTGCAGGATTTATTTGTGTGGGCACTGTTGATGATGATTGATTGCATATTCTGCCAAATTGTATGTCCCCTAAATTGTGACTGTTCTGAGGGATAGGAAGACAAATAAAAAAAAATCTTCACTTACCTTTATATTAACTTTTTGTTAAAAAAAATAATAATTTTACAGTTGTATTTTTTTCTTTTTGATTGCAATTAGAATTCTGGCAGTGTGAATAGTAGGACATTACATAACCCTTCTCTAAGTTAATAGAGGTCCTTGCACATGCCCCATTAATTTCAATTTTGCTCTTCTCTACACAACACATGTTAACTCCCAACTTGACAACCCACTAAAGCTGACCTGACAACTGTAGTCAAACATCTTTCAAAAGTTACAATGAAAAATAACTTCAAAAATAAAAATGAACAAATATGATTATGAGTTCACAAGACCTCAGCCAAATCAAAAATCATTCCCATTTTTTTTTAATAAAGGGAAACCTATAGAATGTATAATGGGAAAATGTATGGAATACAACTCCCATGCCCACCGATAGGTACTTCTTTTTTTTTTTTGTAATATAGTATTTTTTTTTTTTATCATAGAGGACATACAGTAAAATATTACTTGGAAGTATAAACAGCAACTAACTAACAGACAACGAGGCCTAGTGTACATAATACTGTCTGTCGAGAAGAAAAGCAAATATGTACAATATTAAAGGTGAAGGTACAGTGTATAGAATATCATAGTAAATGATGATAATATAGGCAGTCAGCAGCAGACAAGACCAAGAACAAATATATCTCGGAAATAGGTAGTGTAAGGCAAGTTAAAAGGGTCAACGAGGTTTCCATTTAAAAAATAAAATAAATGAAGAACTTAAAAAAATAATGCAGCATCACTAGTGAATGCAAAGTAATAAACAAAATGGTAGACGAGGAGAGTAACAGAAAGTTTAAAGAAAGCAAACAGTTATGAGAAGCATGAGGGTGAGAGTTGGATGTAGCAGAGAGAAGGGAATAAGTATGGAGGTGAGAAGAATAGGAATATAATTTTAAACTATATATATATGACTGGGGAGCTAGGGTTGGCACGCATAGTGATGGCGGGACTGTACATTCATCGTACTCGAATGACAGTTCATAGGTACCTAAATAGATCCATGGTCCCTAATGGCTCTGTGGGTATTCTTTGTTAAATGTCTCTTGATGTTGAGTTTCTGATCATTGTCCTGTAGGCTTTTTTTTCTCTATTATATTTTTGTCGAGAAGGAGTGATAGGCACATACTAGTCATATTACAGCAAAATACAAAAAGAATCGAATATGAACATACCATGTGAATGTTAATAAAAAAATACAAAAACAATAAAGTCTAGCATTCACAAAATCACTAAAAGGCAGGTTGCACCCCACTTTTTGTAAACATTTCATTATAACACAATAGCCATACACCAAAAGAAAACACTATGGCGTGGTTCCAAAAAGTACCAAAGAACTTTAAAGACAAAATAGAGACACAAGGAAAAAACAGGAAACCACATACGGATAACCAATAAAAAATATAGGGCATAAGGAAGTATGCATAACAAATAAAGTAAGCTATAAACTAAACAAAACCAGTACAGATACAAAAATCTGAAAAAACTATAAAAAAACATAAAAAAACTAAATAAAATAAGTAAAGAAAGAAGGGATGGGAGAGAGAGTACATCCACAGATGAGTCAATTAGGAGCTAAGCCACAGAGTGCCCACAATTGGAGAACCAAATGTCAAATCCACCCTATACCAAGTGAGGTGATGGCTTTTGGAAGTCTGATGAGACAAACACATTTCTGTGTCTGCTTATATTTTCTAATCTGAATGTATTGCTTTGTTATGTAATCTGGATACTTTTTCTTCACTATGTCTCAATGTATTTTTCAAAAAGTCCTGATACTTGAGAGGTCCTACGTCTTTTGAAAAGACCCCTATAGATAATATTTATATTGAATGAGGGAACTTTGTAGGAGAAAGGAAACTCTAACTTTCTCTTCCCTATTTCAAACATATATATCTATATTCCCCTGGCATGCCACGAGCTGTGCCTCTAGCGATAGCGGACGGTGAAGAGGCAAGGAAGCCAAAACTGCACTTTATTCTGGTTTTACTTCATGAAATTTCCTAGCAACATATCTGTGGTTTATCACAGCGCTGTGGAATTTGTTGGTGCTATATACATAATAATAATAATAACAACAATAACAACAATAATAACAAATATTGAATACATCAGTAAACTATAACAGGCTCTCTATTCAGCTTTTCCTTTTTTGCTGAATATTTATGGACAATAGCTGATAAAATAAATTGCTAGGGGTTTAGTTTGTTAAAGTAAATCGTTACAGGATTTTGACAGTACTATTACTTAGAAAGTCTAGCATACATCTATTGTTGCTTAACAAGCCTTACTTAAAACACCTGATACCATTACACGGTTAGAGGGAAAAAAAAAGTTTGACCATAAAAATATGGTGCATTTTTGAGTATGTTTAGGTTCTGATATAAAGTAACATTGTTTTATTTATTATTTTTAAATAGACTTTGTTAAAGTTCTAGCTCTGCATTTTGTTAGTATTGATTGCATTTGTCTAGCAGTTGCTGTCTGTTGCTTTTTAATTCAATATCAAATGTTTAGTAGAGCTGGTGAATACATAACATACATTTTAATGATTGCAGAGACCAAAATGAACTCAGTGAGCAATGAGTGTTCTGTTAACAAAAATAAACAGGTACCTGTCTTTTATTGCTTTGATCTCGAAATTCAACACAAATAAATCCTATGAAATAGTTTAACTGGTAAACCCAGTGATTTGTGCATGCAGCAAATGTTGTTGAGAAATATTAGTGCGAAGGTTAATTTAAAAAAAATAATTCAGATATTGTATTTAATCTTAACGATTCCAGAGACAATTGCATCCACTCTGGTGCTGATGGCTTTGGAAGTATACTGGGACTAGTAGTACTGATTTGTCTCATTTTGTGAATGTGATAATCAATTTTATAAAAATCATCAAGCTAAAAAGAGCAAAATAATCCAGAGGGTTAAAACATGGCCAAAATTGTATTATTTTATCACATTACAGAAAAGATTGGAATAATCATTAATTTATAAATGTGGAGTAAAAGGTTTATTAATTAAAAATGGCACATGCGTACAAAATTAGTGCAAATGTGAAACAAAATGCAACAGTTTTTATACATAACACCACAGTTTCTGCAATCGTTACAAAATATACTAGCAATTACACGATTTTCCTATAACATTACGT